TTCCATGGGCTGCAAGATTGGGCTCATCAGCTGTTTCAACTCAACAAAGTAAGTGACAGCCCGTCTCTGACCCAGTTTACAGGGTAACATCTTCAGCAATCTGTCAACCTGCCTAGTTTAAACTGTAAACAAAGCTTGACAGTTAAGTATCAGGTATCATTAACTGGTGCATTCTCCAGGGCTATACTTCCATAGAGTCCATTTGCCAATCAGCACTGTCCTCTCATAGGATATAATGTTCTTTTCCCGTTATTTTGGCATTTCTTGCAAATTCTCCTTATTGAGATTGAGTAGATTGGAACTATACTCATCGGAATTTAGAGGAATGAGGGAGGGATCTTATAGTAACAAAATTATGAAGGGAATAGATAAGATAGAAGCAGGGAGGTTGTTTCGACTGGTGGGTGAAACTAGAACTACGGGGCATAGCCTCAAAATAAGGGGGAGCAGATTTTGGACTGAGTTGAGGAGGAACCACTTCACCCAAATGACTGTGAATCTGTGGAATTCCCTGCCCAGTGAAGCAGTTCAGGCTACCTCATTGAATGCTTTTAAGGCAAAGATAGATAGATTTTTGAACAGTAAAGGAATTAAGGGTTATGGTGAGCAGGTGAGTAAGTGGGGCTGAGCCCATGAAAAGATCAGCTATGATCTTATTGAATGATGGAACAGGCTCGACAGGCCAGATGGCCCACTGCTGTTCCTATTTCTTACGTTCTTATGAGTGGAAAAAAAAGCATTGACAAGATTTTCTGAAGATGGGTCCCGACCCAAAATGTCACCTTCCCTGCTCCTCTGATTCTGCCTGGCCAGCTGTGCTCTTCCAGCTCCACACTGTTATCTCTGACTCCACCATCGGCAGTTCTTACTATCGCTGAGTGAGCATTGAGAAGATGTCGTTTCTTTCAGCAATACATTTTCAAAAGTTTCTCCAACTCCATGGAGGTGAGAGTCAACGCATTTCAGAGGGAAAAATAAGGCAAGAGAACAATATATAATAGTGAGGTTTAGGGTCAAGGAAATATGTGGGATTCTTTTCCTTAACAATTGAGATTTTGAAACAGAAGAACCAATGGAAAGTTAAAGACTTGAAACTTTAACTGTGCTTGTTTTATGTCAGATTTCTAGCTCTGAAGATTTTTGCTTTCGAATTGGTTTACTCTAGAACCAAATAAAACACTATTCTGACAACTAGTGTCTGGTCACCACAATGTGCAAAGGATGTGAATATAATAGAGGGAGTATAGAGGAGATTTATTAAGGTGTTGCTAAGAATGGATTTTTTTATGTAGGTACGAGGAAAGATTGGATAATTTTTGTTGAATCAAAAGAAAGTTGAGGGGATTAATGGAACTATAAAATTATGAGGGTCTTCGGTAGAATGGGTAGCAAGGACCAAATTTCCTTTAGCAGAGACAGCGCAACACCAAATGGGAATATATTTCAAGTATTTTTCAAAGGGATTAGAGTGCAATCGTTGAGAAAACTTTTCATCGAGGCTGCACCAACAGGGTTGGAACTCACTGCCTGTGAAAAGGCTGGCAGAGGCAGAAATCCTCATTACATTTAAAAATTACTTGGACATGCCCGTGAAGTGATATAACCTACTGGGCTGTAGACCAAGGACGAGAAAGTGGGATTAGATTGTATCAAAGAGCCCGGGCATAAGGACGCTGCTTCAGTTAAGGCTCTGGTCAATGTTAGCCTTCAGGCTGTCAAAGGTGCAATGAGTTAAATCTCTAACATGTTGGATAATCCAATAAATCATGCATGCTTCACTGCAGGCCACTACTGATCAATTCACCTGTTTGTTCAATAATGCAAACTGGAAGGGAGAGGCTCTTGTGGCACAGTGATAGTGTTTTTACCTCCGAATAAGTACATTGGGTTCAAGTCCCACCTGCTCTAGTAGTGTGTAATAGCAGAGATAGTAGGAACTGCCGATGCTGGAGTCCGAGATAACAAGGTGTGGAGCTGGATGAACACAGCAGGCTAGGCAGCAGAGAAGCCAGAAAGCTGGACCCTTCTTCAGAGATGGGGGAGGGGAAGGCGGCTCTGAAATAAATACAGAGAGGGGGAGGCGGTGATAGAAGGTGGATAGTGGAGCAGATAGGTGGAGAAAAGACGGACAGGTCAAGGAGGCAAGGATGAAGCTAGTAAAGGTGAGTGCAGGTAGGGAGTTGGTCAGTGAGGAGGGAGGGGCGGGTAGGTGGGAGGGCAGATGGACAGGTCAAGGAGGCAGGGATGAAGCTGCTGGGGAGTGCAGGTAGGAAGTGGGGGTGGGGGTTGGTCAGTGAGATGGGAGGAGGAGATAGGTAGGAGAGAAGACAGACAGGTCAAGGAGGCAGGGACTGGTCTTGGGATGACATTTTGAAGCTCGTAAATTCCACATTGAGACCATTGGGTTGTTGGGTTCCAAGGTGGAATAGGAGGTGCTGTTCCTCCAGTTTCCAGGTGGCATCGTTGTGACACGGGAGGCGGCCCAGGATGGACATGTCACCCAGGGAGTGGGAGGGGGAGTTGAAGTGATTTGTGACTGGGAGGTGCAGTCGTTTGTCGCGAACCGAGCGTAGATGCTCCACAAAGCGGTCTCCGAGCCTTCATTGATGTCTTCATTTCTTCCCCTGGGCTTTTTGGACTTGTGGAATTTATTGTGTGGGAAGACATTAGCACTCAGTTCTGTGGAAATAAAAGCCCTGCAAGTGGCTCTAAATTTTCACCATCTAGCTTCCCCCGCAAACACATCTCGGAATACTCCCTTAATGGAAATTGTTGGTGGGGACTGGGCTGGATTCAAATGGACACGTGCCAATCGGGGTCTTCAGCAGCTACTGAAAGGGAAGCTTCCATTAAAATTGGGTGAGGAAATCCAGGTACTGTTCCTCTTGGAACTTCAACATCCAAGCCGGAGCAAAACAAAACCAACCATTCAGATATTCTGCTAGAATGTTGCTGACCTGAAATATTAACTCTGTTTTTCTCTGTCTTTCCACAGATGCAGTCTTCACCCAATGAGTATTTCTGGCATCTTAGCTTTTATTTTGTTCAGGAATGATTCCGAGAGGAACTTCTTCACATTAATGGTAGTGAATATTCTGAACTCTCCTCTGCAAGAATCTGTTCATGCTAATCAATTAAAACTTCAAGAAGGAGAAATATGTGTGTGTGTGTGTGTGTGTGTGTGTGTGTGTGTGTGTGTGTGTGTGTGTGTGTGTGTGTGTGTGTGTGTGTGTGTGTGTGTGTGTGTGTGTGTGTGTGTGTGTGTTAAGCAAAGGTATTCTTTATGAAATGAAAATGAGGGAGCTGTTTGAGAAACAGATCTGTCATTTAATTCAACTGAGGAAAAGACTGAATGGCCTTCTCTTGCTTCTGTGGTCTCTCTCATATACCGCAACAATCAGCGGCACTTTCTTAGTTGTTGGCACTAACTATTATGGCTCTGATGTTCTGCCATATCATGAGCGGTACGTACAAAACACCACAACATTTTGCAAATGGGTTGACTTTGTTTACATTTGCTTATTTCATGGGAGGTGGCTATCACTGGCAAGGTCAACACTGGTTACCCATGTCTTGTGAATCATCCCTCCATAAATTTTTATGACAATTGATGATTGTTTCATGGATATTACTACCATGATTAGCTTTCAATTCTAGATTATTTTTCTAACTAATTGAATTTAAATGCTACAAACAATCATGGTTGGAACCGAACCTCTACAACTTGTCTTAGCCTCTGGATTATTACTCCAGTAATGTTACCATTAAATACTTTCTAAATCAACATATTCAGAGATGTTACTGCACATTTTTAGAGCAGGCAGGACTTGAACCTGGGCTTCCTGGCTCAGAAGGGACACTACCACTGCCCACAATATCCCTCAAAAAGGTACCTTCAGTCTGTGGTTGCCTGGTTTGCTGACTATTCAGAGAATTCTACAACACTGAAGAGGTTATAGTTTTTTTGAAAATCAACATTTCAGATCCACTGGAGCAGATGGGACTTGAACCCAGGCTCAGAAGTAGGGACACTAACACTATGCTGCAAAAGTCCTTGCCATGAGCACTGTATCACAATCTTCTATTCCCACTAGCTGGTGCAATTAATTCAGTCCTGAAACATTGCACTTGAACACATACACACCAATTTATCAACACGATGTGGCAAATGTGGCTAGGAGTATAGTAATCAGCTGATCTCAACTTTCCTGAATTTGACCTTCTTTGAAAAGAGAATAACATTGCACAATTATGGCTGCACACATCCTCTACCTTTATTATGCAAAATGCATTAAAAATTTATGTTCAGCTACATTCTGTTCATAGGTTCCCATTACCAAGTATGCTTTATTATGAGGGCCTTGTAACTCAGTGGTAGTGTCCCTACCTCTTTACAAGGGAGGACCAAGTTCAGGTCCTTCCTGCCCTACAGGTGTATCATTCCAGGATGATTAAAAATAATTCACAACTTCATAGCTTTACCCACAGAAAGACAATTCATAAAGTGGTTGAGCATATGACAATAGCAATAGAGCACAGCATATTGGATTCTGTGACATCATGCCATTACGAAGTATGTAAACTGAACTAAGATAACACCAGTCCTAGACAATGACATCTTTTGGTAAAGAGGTGCAAGACAAGGCAGTGTTGGTAAAGTAGCAAGGCTGAAGGTGATTCCAATTTGGTGGCTGCATATTATTATGATATTTGCACAGTGTATTTTCTACAAAATTAATGAATTTGCCATGTAAATTTTACGATGACAATGGGTGTTGTGAATTGAGGCAGCAGAATAGGAATACTCATGATCAATACACACGTTAAGATTACATACTAATATAAACGGAATATGTCAAAGGCTTGCTTGTCATTCTCTGCATGTCACAAATTTAACATGGCTTAGTCAAGATCAGGCATTTAAGTTTTCACTCAGTTACAATATTCTAAGAGTAAATCAACAGACCCAGCAGTTACAAATATAAAGCATATCAACTTACATTAACTTTGAAGCTCTGCAAATTTCCATCAAGGAACTGGACATTACAGATGATCTCTGACCGATGCTTGTCTCTTGGTATTTCAAAAGCACGTGTGTGGTTTGTTCTCCCACCCAGCACACGAAATCGTGATGTCATCACTATCCTTCCAACACCTAAATAAAAATATTAAGATTAAAGCCAAAGGTGCAAATGAAATAAATTCGAATCAAGTTATCAATGCTGAATTAACTTCCTTTAGATCATAATTTCATTTGTACTGAATAGACATCAGATATCTGAAGCTATGCAATCAATAATACTATCCCATTGAACGTATAAATGAACGCTGAGCTGTTAAATGCTGTTTTGCCTAACCTTTGAAGGTATTTAGTAATTGTAGCACAGCCAATGCAAATTATGATAATTGATAGATACATACATACACACACACACACACACACACACACCCCAACTTCTTGTAATAGCGTGTTAGGGAAGTCAATATGTAGTTTTCAGGTTGGGTTGGGGGTGGGGGTGGGGGTGGAATGTTTGGGAAGGAGAATCATTGAATCAAGGCACATAGATATCATTTGGGCTAACAGCGCATTAATGGTAAATGTCACTAGGCTAGAAATCCAAGGGCCTAGGCAAATGCTTCGGGAACATGGGTACAATTCTCACCTTGGCAGCTGATGGAATTTAAATTTAAACTAACAAAAGTCTGATGTTGAAAGCTAGTTCCAGTAGTTACCACTATCAAATATCATTTATTATTTTAAGTACTTATCTGATCCACAAATTAGGGAAGGAAATCGGTCATCCTTACCTGGTCTCACCAACATATGACTCTAGATCCACAGCAACATGGTTGAACTACAACACCCGTACCCAACTGGCAATACAGAAAGCCAGCCAGATATGCTCTGTCCATAAAAAGCATTACAAATCCTATCTGGCCAATTGCTGTCCCAACAGTCTACACTCAATCATCAGCAGAGTGATAGAATGGGTCCTGAACAGTGCTATAAAACACTACTAACTTAGTAATAGCTTGCTCACTGATGCACAGGTTGGATTCTGCCAGGCCACCCTGCTCCTAACCTCATTACAGCTTTGGTCTAACCATGAGCAAAAGAGCTGAATTCCAGAGGTGAAGTGAGAGTGACAGCCTTTGACTCAAGGCAGCATTTGACCAAGTATAACTTTAAGGAGCCTTAGCAAAACTGGAATCAATGAGAATTGGAAGAAACTCTTGACTGGTTGGAATCATATCCAGCATAAAAGACGATGGTTGTAGTTCCTGGAGGTCAGTCACTTCAGCTCTAGGACATCTCTGCAGGGTAGCTCAGCACAGTTTCCTAGGCCCAACAATCTTCAGCTGCTTCATTGACCTTATGATGGATGCAAGGTTGTTAAAGGGGAGATATTTGCTGAGGAGTGCATAATGTTCAGCACCATTCGAGATACTTCAGACACTGAAGCAGTCCATTTCAAATGCAGAATGACCTGGGCAAATGTGCAAGCTTTGGTTGACAAGTGGCAAGTAACATTTGCATCACACAAGTACCAGGCAATGATCTTCTCCAATTAGAGACAATTTAAGTAGCTTGACATTCAACAGCATTATCATTGCTGAATCTCCCACCATCAACATTATGGGATTACCTCTGACTCTAGATGATGCAAATGGTGGCCAGAAGAGCAGGAATTTGGCAGTGAGCAACAAGACATAAGTTAGACGAATGATGAAGTACTCTCTGTTCGTTTGGATGAGAGCAGTTCCAATAATGTTCTAGAAGCTCAACACTACCCAGGCCAGAGTAGTCTGCTTGTTTAGCAGACCAAGCATGACCTCAATCATTTACACCTTCCACCACCGGCATACAGTAGCAGATGTGTGTATTGTATACAAATGCACTACAGCAACTCAACAAGACTCCTTTATCTTCACCTTCTAAACTCAATACTGGAAGCACCTTGAAGGACAAGGGCAGCAGATGCATGGGAACATGAACACCTGCAAATTCCTCTCCAAGCCAAACCATTCTGTCTTAGAACTGCATGTGCATTTCTCATGGTCATTGTATAGGAACCTTAAAACTATCTTCCTAACACCACTTTAGATTTTATTACACTACTTGAATCCAACAGCTCAAAGGTTGTTCACTCCTACCATCTCAAGGACACTTTCAAGGGCAATTAGGAGTACACAACAAATGCTGGCCATGCTCGTGATGCAAATGTTCTATGATGAAATTAAAAAATTCTTAATTGTCTTCTAAAATGGCCTACTAAGCCACTTAGCTTAAAGGTAATTAGGGATGAACAATTGCTGACCTTGCTAACGATGTCCTAATCCCAAAAGGAATAATGTCTTTAAAAAAATTTTTAAATCATTCTATCATCAAAAATCTCTGTTGGTCTTGACTCTGTAGTATATAAGGGGTATTATCGCTAGACTATTAACCCAGAAACTAATGTTCTAGGAACTTGGGTTTGAATCTACCATGGCAGATGGTGGAATTTGTATTGGAATTAAGAATCTGATGACCATGAAACCATGGTTTTTCTGACAATTGACAATCTGGTTCACTAACGCCTTTCAGGGAAGGAAATCTGCCATTCTCACCTGGTCTGACCTACATGCAACTCCAGACCCTCAGCAATGTGGTTGATTCTCAACTGTCCTCTAGTCATTTGGGATGGGCAATGAATGCTGGCCTAGCCAGCAACACCCTCATCTTGTGAGTGAACGAAACAAAAATCAAGAAAACTTGTGTTTAGAAATATAGAGACCATATAATGCAAAGGAATAATTGAAAGAGGGAACACTGGGCTACAGAAACAAAGACAGCATGCTCTCTCAAATTGGATATCAGGTTTCCTGCATTACAATATTCACCCCCACCACAGGCCAGGCAAGGAGGCAAGTCCTGAATCCATCCCAGGATCTTCATCCCAGTCTGATTCACATTAGCAGTCCAATGAATACAAGTTGCTTGTAAAAAGTGTATGCTGTTAGAGCATGTTATAGTCTGGAGCCAAGAAGCAGAGGCTCCAAGTTCTTTCCATCAACTGGTTGACTAGGACTTGCTCCTGCTCTTAGTGCCTGACATTGACATGTACTTGAAGGACCTACATGTTGACATTCAACCTGTCTGACTGCATTGTCAACACATTTTTGTTGGATATCAATTTCCAGCGTGGGATTTGAACCTGGTGTTTCTGGTTCAGAGACAGGAATGCTACCTGCTGTTTGACAAGAGCTCCTCAAAACAAAGACAACTTGAAAATATTTTATTGAATATAAAATGCGTTGGAACATCCTAGATCATGGAAAGCACAAAGTAAATAGTAATCTTTTTATCCCCCAGTACTCCATTCACATAATTCTAATTAGACATTTCACATTACAGTCAAAGCAGATACCCAAAATTTTGTTACTTAATGCTGTTTTTGACAGTGAAGTTGCTTCCTAATTCACAGCTGCTAACATTTATGAACAACAACCACAGAAACACCTGCAATGAAATAACCAGAGACCAAAGTCTAGCATCGTTTTTGAAGATAATTCCATCTACAGAAATGAAGCCAAGATTTTAGCTGCAAAAGAGTATAACAGTGCATGAGGAACTGGGCCAATGCTCTGGAGGTATACAGTAGAGATCCTAGCAGGTTGTAATTAGAGGTTAAAAGCAATGCATGAGCATACTACAAGTTCAACCAGGCAGGTTAATGAAATTAAAGCTAAAAGTTTGTAGGTACAAATGGGAGCCAAATAGAATAGGTGCTTCCTCTTCCTGTTGCTAGGTTCCAAACAGCTAACTCATCCAAGTTCTGACATCATGCAGACAAGCACTCCTTGAATCAATGATGTTGGCAGACAAAAACAGCATATGGAAGTTGACTTACCGATGCTTTCGTGGAGATAAACAAGAGAGGATCATTACTGGAGATATTGAGCATATGAAGGTGATTATGCAAGGCAGGTACAGAAAAATCAAACTGTCTAACAAAGCTAAAAAAAAACATACAAAAATGTAAAGCTAAAAGCATAGATTCTGGTGAATGAGAAAAATACAAAAAGCAGCAAAAGGTGACAAAACTAATAACTTGAGTTATAGAAAGGAAGTATGAAAAGAAACTAGCAAGCAACATCAAAAATTATCACAAAACATTTTTAAAACAACATTAGGGAAAAGAGGATGGACAGAAAAAATGTGAATGCCTTAAAGTGATAATGGTGAGGTTGTCAATCAAAACAAGGAATAACAAACATGTTGAATAATTACTTTCTGTCAGTATTTACAGTAGAGGACAGTATGCCAGACATCGCAAGGAAACTATTACTGAATCAAGGACAGGGACTCCAAAAAATGTAAGTAATATAACAGCAATGAAGTAATTCATGGGAACAAAAATGGCAAACACCCAGGACCAGATGGTTTCCATCCCACAGTTTTAAAAGGTGAGAACACTGAATGAATATCATTAGTGTCTGCAAAGTTAATTAAACTTAAGGATTATTCGAGTGTAAAAATAGTTCATTTCCAAGGGTGTTTCTTGAAATTTTCTTGAGCTACTTTTTGACTTTTAACTGCTATACTTTAGTTTTCAGGGACTCTTTTCTTAGTCCTTCTGCGAACTGTTGAGGTCACAGTTAATGCATTTTTGTTGTATATGCACAAAGCAATAAGATTTCAATCAGTTTTTGCACTATTCACTGTATTAAGACAGAAAGAGGATACACAAAAAGATTCCTCAGACATATCTCGTCTAGTTTTTCAAGAAAGTTCTCATTACAAAATAGGTCAACACCAAGACCACTGTTCCACCATTAATTACAACATACTGCGCAATGACCCAACAAAGTGGCTAAGAAGTTTTCTGAAAAAGAGGGACTATCAGGTTTTGAAAGAGACCAAAACTTATGTAATTTAACAGTCAGCGACAGATTGAGGACACAAGGAATCTTATTTCCCAAACCCTACAGGCTTTGTCTCTCATTGCCTCGAAAATTCTACCGCTTCCTCACCACCAATCTTAACTGGTCCGGAGTCCAGACACAGTAATTTGGTTGACTTTAAATGCACTCTTAAATTACTCAGTTGTATCAAACTGTTAAGAGGTTTCAAAAACAAAAGGGAATGAATGGATGGTCAACCAAGGACAT